TCCACACACCCCAATTTACTGATGACTACCTAAACTATTGTCATCAAGGTTAATCATGATCTAGTTAGCCTTGAGTGAAGTGCATAAAGACCTCCCATACACAGTAAAGCTCTGAAAATAAGAAGAACTGAGGATCTGTTTTGCCATGAAGTACATTTAGTTTCACCGTAAAGAATGTACTTTTTGCATATCTTCAACTCATAATATTACAATGTGTGAAGATTCACAATAAAAATGCACTTAAGTAACATGCTGAAATGTATAGGAGTTTATCGGTTGACATTGTAGATAACAATAGATTTACTACCAACATATAATTAAGAAAGAATGCTTCAGTGTGTGAAGACATGGAAAACAGTTTAGTCCTCCTTTAGTTCCCTCAGTGAGCAGCACTTTGGTGACTGCAGAGAGAGAAAAAAACTCCCGCGTGAACTGGAGGAAACCTCCAGCAGAACCAGGCTCAGTTCAATTGATAGGTTGGGGTGAGCGTGAAGAAATGGGGAAAGGAAGAAGATGGGTGGAAAAGAGGGGTGAGAAGAGAGAGAGACCAGGAGCAGTTGTGTAACCATCGTATTTAAACTAATAAATCAGACTGGTTGTTATAATGAAAATTACAAGAGTGATATTTATAAATGTAATAATGTTATGTATAATGTTAATTATAGAAGCACCCGTTAATATAACAACAACAACGACAATAATAATAACAATAGTAACAATAGGTACTATGGGGGTGACATGTAGTAAAATAAATAGGGTCAGAGAGACAAAGTCAGGGAGAGAGACAAGTGCTCAGTGCAGGATTTGATTTGCACTTTAGGCTTATAGCCGCATAACTACGGGCTGGATCAGAAATCAGCCCTGCATAAGCTTTATCAAACAAGGAATGTTTTGAGTTAAACTTAATGCAGAGAATTCCAGTAGGGTGGGATAATACTAATGGAGTTATGTGGCCAAACAAGTTAGAAAACTGGTTGTACCAGGGGCTGTGACTGTAACATCGCTGTTTCAGTGGTTGTTGTGTGTGTAGGGTCTTTCAACCTTACAGATCCTGTCAAAGTCCATGCACAGACAGGAGTTGTATTTCTAAAAGAAATTCAATTTTAGTTATCCTGTTCATTCAGTTATATTGGAAGGATTGACCAACACTCTATTGGTAAGTGCAACTATTTTGTGTTTGATGAGTTGAGTTCAGCTATTTGAAATACATTCTGAGGGAATTGTGAATAAGTCACATCAGTTAAGAAACACAGAAAGCAAATCTATCAGAGACATGTCACACACATTGCTTCTGTCGTTGCTTCTGAACATGCCCGCTGTCCACTGTTTGTTAAGGAAACATTGCTTTTATATTGTAATCTACAATTGCTTTATTTTGTTTAAACCAGTTACATCAGTGTCATATGCCATCCGGCAATGAAAATCCTGAAGTGCCACCTGCGGAGGGCCAAGCGTGTGCTGCTGGGCATTGGTATCATCTGGTGTCTGAGTTGCTTATATTTGATCCTGGTGTGTGTCTTCATTCATCTACTTACATTTAAGTGGAATCAAAAGCAACATATAGTTTAACAAATCACTTATGGGATCCAGAGATACTTCTAAGCGGTGTAACTGATTAATAACCCTCCACTTCGTACTGCGCTATGGAGGACCAAAAATGACTCAAGTA